GCAAAAGTTCGCCGCGGGATGGTTTAAAGGGCGTCTCCGCGGCCTTCATCGATTTAATTGTCGGAGGGCTTAATTGTAGGGGATGAAGGGGACGACCTTGAGGAGGGCCGGGCAATATCCAAACCAAAGTTTCGGGCAACAGGGGACTTTCGTGAGAGGAGGTAATTACGAAAGTGACCTACCTCAACGGGATTCCCCTTGTCAATGAAGAAATCTACTTCCCTTCGCGTACCAGGGTCGTCGCCGTAATCCAGTTTTCGGTATTGCGCGTTTTAACGAGGTTTGTCCGTTCTACGATTCCCACTATAACGTGGAAATACGAGATTGTTCGTTGATTTTGGCATTGCTCGTAGATTTTAATTAGCTGTAAACTCTCTTTTACAAAAAACTTCGGTTGCATTTTCTTGGCCTTTCAAAATTCACCAGAAATTATGCGAGGCGAGACGAGCCGAGAATAATCGTAGAAAACAAAACACTATTACGTTAGTATTTTAAAAGGCGATGGCGGTCGCGAAGCGAAGAGACGAAATCTTTTTGCCGGGAAACTGGCGTGTTTCCTTCGATGGGAAATCCGTGAAAAGTCGGGATTGAATTATCCTACTGCGGTGCCGAGACAGGTACGATGGGTAGGGGAAGAGAAAAAGAGAGAGAAAGAAAAAGAGAGGAGGAGGAAATAGCCGACATGGGGTGGAAAGGAAAACTAGAGAAAATAAAATACACACCCGGCCATTGGCGCGACTTCGTTTCGTACATTTTATTCGAGCCAATTGGATTTATTTATGCGGGCGGGCAGGATAGCCCGGGGTGGGGGCTGAAATGCCGGGTCTGAAACGCGCGCAGTCGGTAAAACAGTCTCGCTTCCTTCCCACCCCCACCACGCCCTTTTTGTGTCGTGGCTCGCGAACTTTATTGTATATTTAATTCCACGTTCTTTATCTCTGTCCTATTCCGAGGCTTGCTACTACAGGTCCGAACAGATATTTCAACGGGGTAAAGGGCGTTAAACGAATGGGGAGGGGAGGATTGGAGAAGTGGAAATGGCGAAATCTTTCGCGAAGACAGCATTATTGCCAGTCGAGATTCCAATGTAGAGTGATTCGTGAGAATGGAAACGATTTTTGGGGATATCGACGTCGAACTAGTTTCTTGAACAAATTTAGGACATTAACTACATAGTCTTTGTGATTTATAATGTTTTTACGACTTTTGAAATGACAATTTTGCTTTCATTTTAATCGACTACTTAATATTTATGGGGATTTGAAGTATGTTATTGAAAGCAGAGATTTGACGGTGCTAATAGTGTGTGAAAGTTTATACAATTATATGCGTCATGATAAATGGTACTTATATTGATTTAGGTAACTTTTTGTGTTTCAAAACATTTCATCAAAATAATGCTCATGTGATATTCTAATTAATATTGCACATATTCATTGCAGCGGAAACAAAATATGTCAGAAAATTGAGATGAGATCTGGTAAGTCGCATTGCTCTTCTTTCGAGGCTGACACCGGTCAGAAGAAGTCAACGACTATAATTCAACCTCGAGGAAAGAAAGGGCACGTCGCGAGAGGGAGAAGGCGGGTAGTGGTTTACTTCCGGTTCGTCTATTCGCGTCACCATTCGGCACGAGCTGCATTCTCACGCTCATTTGCATACCCGGCTACACATCAATATTCAGGGAGGCCAGAAAACGGACCCGTTTTGCATACTGGACCCCCCGCTCGTGTTATTTCTCCCTTTGCTGGGATCTCGACGGGACATTGCGACTTTGATCCTGAGAAACTGGATCGGAAAGGATGAATTTGACGAACTATGGATAATTCAGTATCACCGATCGATTGGTAATTGAAAACTTCGTGTTGCGTAAGCTGGTTAAAATATTACCCTCGGCGATAAGTATTTCACCACATAAATTAAATGTCTATATTAAAAGTTCATTCTATAAAAAGTTATTTAAAAAATTCTATCCTAAAAATGGTTTCACTAATGATGAAAAAACTACAGTGATAGAGTCGATTTATTTTCAAATACAAAATATAAAAGTGGAAACAACGATTTCAGACAGTGTTAAATCATTTGCAGGCATTACATAATATTTATATAGACAAGAAAAAAAACATGAAATTCGTGTTTTTTTCTCAAGTATCTTATTGAGTTCAGAATAAAATAGAAAACTCGTCGCATCTGACGAATGCTTTGTCTTTTATTGTATTTCACACATCTCTATAGATTATAAATGCATAAAATCCGCAGTCTATTCATGACATATCGTTCTAGAGTTAACTAACAATAGCAGAATCACAGAGTTCACATCAGCACCGCTCCAATACCCCGAAATCTTCATCAAGAAATCAAGCTTCTGTGGATATCCTCTCCAACCCTTCTTGTTCGTAAAACTAGCTTCGCATCATCGATCACAGAAAGATCATCAAAGGACACGTTTAAATCCCAACCACAGATGGTTTGCGTACACCTATGTATCCTTATCGGTGTTTCCAAGGGTCTGTCCTTTCCTTCTATTTTTCTCCGTGTCTTCCCTTCTCTCCTTTCTGCTCCCTTCCTCGTATGCTCGACAATGAATCGCGGACAGTTGCTGTGCACACACTAACACACACACGTACACATACCCAAGCACACACGCACGCGTGTCACCGAAGGAAAGAAGGAAGGAAGGCGGGTTGCGTAATTTAAATAATTCAAGAATGACCCTGACCCCGGTTAGACCGCGGGGCTGACCTGCAGCCGGCCGATTACAATCACAATGCACCGTCGAGTTCTCAGGGTAAGACAGGTAGCGCGCACCGGTCCCGCATACATTAGATCGAAGCCATCCACTATATAAATATGCACTATATATCTCGGAACCAGCGTGATTTTATGCACGGGACAGGCGCGGGTCGACCGAGAAGAGAGTCCTTCCTCCCCAAAAACCATCCAGCCTCCTCTCTCTTTCTCTCTCCCTCGTTCGCCAGGCCAGCTTCCAGACTGACACACATTTAACCTGACCGAGCGATTAGCATAACGTACACGACACCGATAGCGCGTTGCTAGCGTTCCAGGGCTAACGCACCTTGCGAAAGTCCCACGGTGAGGGATTTTCTTGGCTAAGAATCGACCCTGGATTCTGTGCGATGATCCGTATTCGAACGGAGGAACCTTATGGTAATTTGTGGGAAATCGTGATTTGGAATTGGAAGACGATACATCGATGGTCGGTGTGACGGGGGTTGCGATGAGAAGGATGGTCGAATAGAAATTTGGGGAAGATAGGGGTTGGAGACGCTTACGGGGATGCGAATGTGAAACGAGGGGATAATTTGGATAGTTTCTATGGTGACTATGTAAGCTTAAATATTTTGGTGTAAAGCATTGTGTGGTAGATAGATTGTTACTGGAAGTACACGTATACGTAATGCGGTGGAAGGTCATGAATGACGAAATTACATTTTAAAATAATAAAAAAATAACATGTATCTATATGGTTTAATTCACATCTAAAGTCGATAATAAATAAAATGGATAAAATAAACAAATAAAGATCTGTAGCCAGACCCGAGATAACAAAACGTGTAAACAAAAACAATGGAATCGTCAATATTGATCGACTTATTGGCGACAGCCGTGTTGCACACAATTTTCGTTTCGCGCCTCTTTGGACAACAGCCATAGCTAAGTGTTAAATAAAATAGAATCTCCATTAAAGAGTTACTAAATCTACCTCACGGCGTTTTAATACTAAATGTGATACAAATGCATAACTACAGCGAAACAACCCCTTTTTCAGTGTTCGTCCTTTGTCTATTTCCCTCTTTCTAAGAACAATACACCCGGTGGTATCAATATCAACGTCAAACAGTGTGTATTTCCGATTCACATGATCGATAGCAATCGAACGTCGGGCAGGATCGCGGACGGTAATTTGCATCTTCGATGCTGGAAACCAAACACTCGAAGGATCGAAAGCTGGCATGCAGATGAGCCGGCATAGGCCGCCCTCGAAAGCGGATGTTGGCAGTCTGCAGGCTACGTAGACAATGGACCAGTGCCATTATGTCCGTCGAATCCTAAAACCCCATAGAGTCGTTCTTCTCTGTCTATTATCCGGCTGGTGGCAGGCCACATTGTGTATCCGGTCTGCCACGGGACCCTGGCCATTGTCGGCCCACCTAATTATTCGCAAATCTTCCGCTCCTTGCCAGTACACACACCCCTTCCCGCCCCCTCTTCGTTACTCTGAACATCGCGAATTTCCGTCTTTGGTAACCGGTGGGCCCTCGTTGTTCCCGTTTAATTCAGCTCTAGTTCGAACTGGGTGGCTTTAGAAGCTATTGTCTCACGAGAACTTCCTTCGCTCGCGTATGTTTTCTACCCTTGGTCTACGTGATCGTTGAGTCGATCGTGAGTAAAGTTTGCACGGGCGTAACGGTATGTTATCCGAATACTTTGTAAATGTTTCTCTGTACATATCGCACTCCCGCAAGAACAGTATTAGAACTTAAAAATATTTAATTTCCATTTTATTGCGTAAAATGTTATCCAAAAAGATGTCATTTAGTTGAAGTTCGAGTGGAATGGCAGTAGCTAGATGATTACTTTATTTAATACATTTATGAAATGCTATGTACTGAATCAATTTCTTTTCGAACTTCTGAAAAATTGCACGGTTTCGACTTGTGACCCTTTTCTCGCGGGAGTAGGATATATAATTAACTAAAACTTTTTGTATTCAATTAGTACGACTTCCTTTTTGTCAGTTAATTTTCTTTTTAATTTATTATTATAAGGTGCTAGCTTTTGTTAGTTTAGCGAAGTTTGAGTCTCCTTAAAGGGGTAATTGAGGATGCATAATGCAGGAAAGAGACATAGAAACATGATACTCTAAATGAATATATGTATGCGAGTACTATTTACGTAATATGTATAGAATACTATATTATCAAGACGTAAAAATGTGTTTAACATCCGGTGTATTGGATTGATATTGTTGTACTTACCTCAGGATCGGTTGAGTCGGGTCGTTGGAAGGCATACAAGGGTGCAAGTTTGTCGTATAAATTTACTTCATCGTGGAGTGTTTTGAAAGGATTCTTGGTGCTGAAGAAATCCAAATCGACGTCTAGAATGTAGGGGGTGTCCCGTTCTGGTAGATAATGCCGCAAGGCAGAACTGACTGCTGTAAAATCATCTCTCTGAAACATAAGGGTTTTAAAAATAATTATTTCAAAAATCTTTTTTGAAAATAATTTTTTGAACATTTTTCCTATCGATATATGGACAACTATAAACAATATAAAATGCATCTACACTTTCTTTCAATATCTATTGTAGTTTTCGAGTTACAAACGAAGAAGTAAAAGTAACGCTTCAGATGAAAAGGATGATTTTTCCCTTAAAGTCTAAAAGTAGCACGAACCAAGTACGGCAGAATTCTTAGGTTGGTCCCGTAAACAAAGTTACAGAAAAATCAGCTGTATATTGCCATTGTACTAAATCCTCATACATATACTGTAATAAAGCAATAATAAATATCGTCGTTTAAGAAGTTTCAGATAAAACAACGTTCCATTTTTTCTTTTGCCGACTAGCAGCAGGCCTACACGCTTAAAATCGATTACGAAATAAAACGACCGAGCGACGATATCACAGGAACAACCCCTATTTTGCAACTCATTGAGCGCAATTTACAAACTCGCCGTTTCTTTGCAGGGGCGAGAGACTGGTTGAACCCGGCGAGCCGCTCTCGCACGGCCTGAACATTGTTTGGGACGGGGCGGAACGCGTCACTGGCCGCTGGTGCAAAAGGGGCGCAAAGGGTCTAGGACAAGGGGGGGGGGCTTTTTGTGACGCGCAAAAAACAATGACTGCACTCGAATTAATCCTGTTAGAATTGATACTCGTCCCGGTACCGGGATCGCAATTTGCATGCGTTCACAACAATGAAACGCAACGGCATTCGCAGCGGGTCGAGAAGGGTTGCGATGGTCGATCGAGGGGGTGGAGGCTGACAGGAGGAAAGCAAAGCCAACGATCACTATGATCAGCGGCTCTCAAACTTTTAATACGATCTTCGATAGCCCGGATGTCCTGATTCTTTTTTTTTTGTCATTGCTTGCCTGCCACTCCACCGAGTGTGTCCGCGTAATGAAATTTAATTATCGCTTTTCTCCCTCCCCCTTCCACCCATCACCTTTTGTCGAATTCGAGCGAAACATAAACTTTATGCAATTTTAGTCGAAAATACATTGAAAGGGTCATACTTTTCTTTTGTAAAGAATTTCTACATTTTGCTGGGGGAGTAATTACGGAATAGAAATGTGAACAGTATTTAAATAATATTTCAAATAGTACTTACTGGTGTTATTTGAAAGCTCATTACAGTTGGAGATGATGTTTGGTTAGAAAAATGTTTGCAACAGTTTATAAAATTATTTATCCGAACCAAGTATGTGGTATTATATTTTTTGTGTACTGTATGCAATGTGTAAGATACTATGTATATTGCTAATAAAGAAGAGAATCTGATGCATGACACTAAAAATTACAGGTGAACAGAAGTCACGCCCTAAACCTAAACCATGGGGGCTTCATTTCACTCTGAACATTGCCCATGTACAATCGATCTTACATCGATTTACGTTACAATGACATGGAAGCATTTTCGCAAACTATTCAATTTAGAGTCTTAGAAACATAACCTAAAACCTGTATTCGTAAAACATCCGGAAAGTATCGGCACGACCGCATTGGTTTGGCATTAGAAGGGAGTACATACCGGAAAGGACGTTCCTTTGAACATATTCATTTGCATTCTCCTAACATCAGCTTTTTCGTTGCCCTCGGTTTCTTCTTACTGCAACGGAGAGACGGAATGCGTGGAAGGGAAAAGCAGAGCGTGGCCCGATGGTGCAAGCGAGATCGATCGAAAGAGGTGCGCGTTCACATATATGTATATTTTTCTCTCTCTCTCTTGTCTTGCCTCCATGACAATGCACCGTTCTTTTACGCGGGAACTACCAAAGCTCTTTCTGACTGAAACCAGTTTCCCGTTTATGCGAGTTGAGCCGTGCACAGGGTGATTCTGACTGGAATCGAGGAAGGACAAAAGGTTCTTACGGAATCCCCCGTTGCGCTTAAACCAACAGCTCTCTGGTCGAACACACGCGCGCCAAACGTCGACGGAACGCTGCGCTGTCTATCTGCAGAGAGGTGAACTAAGGCGAACGGCCCTCGATCTTCGAACATTCTCTCGGATCGATTTCCTTAGTGTCTCGATTCCACGAGACGCGAGAAATTTTTATCGATTCACAATCTAAAAACACTGATTTTGAAAATGAGTACACAAAGTGTTTTAGTAGTTTCTCTTTAAGTTTCTCTAAATTGCCCAGTAAATTAAGTAACTACGAGAACAGCATTGAGGTATTTCCAAGAGTACGTAGAACTGAATTTTTCGGGAACGTGTCATGTAAATTGTCATAATGTCCGTCATGCTGCATTTTGAGCAGTGTGGATCACACAGTGACACCAGAAATGTTTGAACGTCGTTGTCAAAAGACCAACTATAACATTTGTTATCGTTATATATGTTGTCCACTGAACGCAGATAAATTTTGCGTAATACCGTTTTTTATTACATTGTCACGAACGGCTGAAAAATCGTGCGGACCGTTAGAGTGAACACCCTGTACATACTTATACATATATTGTATATATATTTCTGAAACATTCTTCCATCATGAAAAATTCATTGATTGTTTCCCGCACGGTGATGTGACTGGCTTGCATTGGCATAAATCTGAATACGAATATTTAGACGTTTAACGGTTCATTTTACATAAGACAACGTATGGTAAACATTTCCTTGATTCACAACCCAGAAATTTTATATTCGTCAGGCATTACCTAATTCGGTAATCAATAAACATGTCACTTATGTTACTATTGATGTCGCTTATCCGTTTTCGATTTCTGTTTTCGATAATCTCGTATAAAAAAAACTTACATACAATAAACAGTTTATGTTTTCCATATGGTACATTATAAGAAAAGATCTTCAATAATTGTTTACATTTCTATGGAATTTTTTTTCGGTTACCCAACGTCAGAACTATCGAACTCGTTAAAATGACGAATCTCTACAAAACTATGTTCAAGTAATCATTTCCACGAATAAAAAAGTGACTTTCATTGACAATTTTTTTTCCAAAAAAGCGCGCGTCAAGGGCTTAATGCATAAACTACAATTTTTTGAAATTGTGACATGAGACGTTTTTCCTTATAGCCATCTATTTTTGTCGTTGCTATAATCGAGTAACAAACAGTATAAAAGAACGGTCCAGTGATGTGAGCGATAATTCGTGGTGGGGCTCCGCGAATTTAGGAATTCAGTAGATCCGCGGGGCCGCGAGTGCCGTTCGTGAAAGCGTAACGGGGCCGGCGACATCGCGCCACTTCGGGTCAAGACAATGCGCCGATTTGCATGCGGCACTGGTTGGCTTAATTGCGCTCGCGACGGTGGTGTGATGGACGACCGTCTGTTCGGTTAATGCGCATGGAAATGCCTTCGGTCTGGCCTGCGCCACGTGCTTGCCCGGGCTCGCTCGCTCGTACGCTCGTGTTCGCGAGTCATTCCCGCGGCCGAAAATATCTGCCGAAATCGAACCGACGCGCAGAGATTATCGCGTTATTGCACTTACCCATCGGGTGCAACGTCCTGCCTTGGATTCCTCGCGCGAACGATGTAAAATTAGCCGTATACCGCCGTTGATACAGACTTTTTTCGTTTGGGATAAACGTACGATACCTTCTCGGGGGAAGACAGTCCGAAACCTCTGTTATCCGAACAGCAGTTGAGTCAACGCCGAACACATCTTTTTGGTATCTTGTACAAACATTTTTTTTTTTCATAAATTCAAGAGCCAATAGTCATTTTAAAACTATTTGAAGTATTTTTTTTTTATAAACAATGTGGTTGTTTCACCACTTTGTGTTAATGTTTGGATGTCATTTAAAGAACCTTCGTACTGTCGATCGGTTCCAGATATTGTCACTAGAGTAATAAAGTAGGCATCTATTGTAGTAGACAAATGCAGGTTGACCCTTAAATGCATGATTTTTCCAAATATGATGAAATATTTCGAAATTGCCAATTTATGTGCTATAACTATAAATGACAATTGTTAATTAAAAATTCTCTAATATAAAAGCCTTGGTATTGTGATTTTATTTCTACACAAACACAAAACATTATATTTTTTCATGATAATACCCGTTTCTTACGATTTCACGGGGCTTCGTTGATTGTCAGTTCCATACAAGCGTCCGGAAAAGCTTCGCGAAATCGCTTGGAAAATGATACGACGCAGGGAAATTCCTGTCGCAATCGTTGGCCGGCTATCGCGGTCAAGCGGTAAACCGCTGTTTCTTTGTTTCCCAACACTATTCGCGGATGATACATCGCGGCTAGAATTGCCTCACTTGCCTCTATGACTCATTACAATCGAGTACTACGCGCTTTGTAGAATGCTTCTCGCGGCAGTCCGTGATGCTCGTCACGCGTGCGTGCCCGCGAGATAACAGGGCCTCGATGCAAATTAAAAATCGCGTGACAAAGATAGGGGATTACATGTGTTGCGCAATCGCGCATTTAATGATTTCGACGTATGTACCAGAGGACACGTGACTTTGTGTTTTACCCATCCCGTCCATTCGGTTATTAAACATTGCAGGGATATTCCCATTTAGAACGATATCGTAATGACGATTTTCACGATTTAAAATACAGTAAAGCAATTCGTGTCCGAATTATGACAATAATAATTATAACAATAATGAATCAGTACATTTTCAAATAGTTTTAGCACAGCAATTTTATCAAATCTTTGTAGAATAATACTTTTCGCCTTCTATAATAATTATCAGACATAGTCCCATACTCTCAGCCGGCTGTGAACATGTGTACGTTCGAAATCATAACCCGAGAGATATGTACCAGGAACTTAATTCCATAGCTCCGACGGTATATACATTTTTTATTAAGAACAGATGACAGCGACAAAGATGGAAAACGATCTAGATCGCCGGCTGGCGATTAAGTTCAAAGATCATTTGCGGGCCTTAAATCACAGAGACCGACATAAGGAGTCTGATGAACATCTGCACGGTGGAATTCACAGATTGCGCAAAAGCTGTT